AGATGAGGCAGCTGAGGCTCAGGAACATGATTTCTTGTACAGTTGTCCACAGGCCACAGTGGTAGAGGACCTGAGGCGAGTGCAGGTGGGCCCAGGTGTGGCCTGCAGGGAGGCCCGTCCCAGGCCTGCTGGACCCCAGCGCCCCCTTCACTGTTGTCCCCAGCGCCCCTTCACTGTTGCCCCAGTGGCCCTTCGGTGTTGCCCCGAGCTCTTTGCTTGCCTGTCCTGAGCGCCCACCCTCTTTGACCCTTGTTTTTGTTCAAGTCTGCATTATTTCCAGGGTGCTGGTCTCTTTCCTTGACTTGCCGCTGACTCTGAAGCTTGGATCTCTTTCGATTCTGAGGCCAGCTCTAGACACCACCCGGCTTCTATCTAGTCCAGCCTCCTTCCCTTGACACAAGGGAACTAGTCCATGGTCCCACACACAGCAGAGTGGCACTAGGACACTTCCCTCCAGGTCTCTCCAGCTCCATCTGCCACCATCCCTGGAGCCCTGCCTCAGCTGGGGAGGTGGACGTCTGCCTTCATGACCTCCCGCCTCCTGGTAGCAGAGGTCTGCCTGGACTCTTCCCTCTAGGCCAGGGAGAACATCACCTTCTCCAGAGCCACAGGGGTAGCTGTCCCAGGATGCAGCTAGTGTCCAGAGGCAGTAAATTGGGCTGATTATGTCCCCAAGCTGGGCTTCAGTTTCCTCCTTTGCCAAACACATCAGCCCTGCCCTTTTCCTAGGGCCGTTGTGACAATCAGATGAAAAACAGTGCATGGGAAACTACGAAGTATTTTGCGAATGTTAGTGCCTGTGCAAGTGAACACCATTTGCTGGGCCTGGCACCCCTCCTGCTGCCACTGGAGCATGACTCATGGCAAAACGGTCCCAGATGGGGTGAAACAAAAGCTGGAATGTAAACTGAGTTCTGAATCTAGGCTTTTTTAACCCTCTCCTTCTGGGATGAGGCTGAGATTTGGCCCTATACGCCTGCTCTGCCCCCCCACCCCTCCCTCTGCTGGCCTGCTGGCGGGCGGCTCCTTCGGTTTCAGTGACATCCCTTCCGTCTCCATGCTCTGTGGTCACCACCTGATCTGCTGTCTGTCCAGGCCCTTTTCTGCCCCCAAACCAGGCCTTTCTGGTTCTGGCGGGCAGCCCCGAGCCCCTCGAGGGCAGGCTATGGAGGCTCCCCCACCGGCTGAAGTCTTGTTTTGGAAGAAAGTCTGAGCTGTTTCTGGTTTTGGCAGGGGAGCTGGTGTCCCACAGCTGGCAGGTCACCTGCTGAGCTGTAGCTCCTGGAACCAGGTGGATATGGAGCCTGGAGCCAGACCCTGCAAGAAGATGGGGTGGGGTCCTCGGGTGTGCAGTCGGATCACAGGGGCAGGAACAGGAATGGAGGGTGACTGTGGGCAGCCTGGAGAGGCAGCGGGGATTTTCTGGTCCCATCCCCGTCCTGACGTTTTTGTGACCTCAACTTTCCCTGCTCAGGGCCCTTGTGTCATGAGGGAGAATCAGGAGCTCATGCTCAAGGACTCCCGAGTCCTGAGCTCCAGACATTGCCCTGTGGGCGGGTCAGTGCCTCCTGCCCCCTTGCCAGGCAGGTTCTCATGGTTTGTGATGAAGGGAAACGCTGTCACCATGTTCTGACACTGCTCCTCAGTCGCTGCATGTGTCTGGATGAATCTCTGTCCTGCCTGGTCCTAGGGGATCGGCCCCATTGCCCTTGGAGATTCCTGTCTGGCTCTGTCATCCTCGAAAAGAGTACCCGCAGGAGAGGTTATCAAAACCCCGCTGGCCAAAAGGCAGCTTCCCGTCTGCCCAGCAGTCATCTTGGGCCTACCGCCGGCCATGTGGGCGTGAGGTCAGCGGGCCCTGGAATTCCCCTTCTTTCTTCCAGAAGTCCGGACCCTCCCATGGGCAGTGCCTCTGAGTCCAGAGGGTTTTCCCTTAGTACCTGTTCCTTCTGCGTTTCTTCTGCCCCTGCCTGGCAGCCCGTCCTTTCTCCCTATCTCCGCTCACCCAGGCTGGAGTAGGGGAGGAGAGCCCCAGCAGCCTCCTCTTTTGTTTCCCATGAACTCCTTCCCTGTTGGCTCCCCAGGGCCAAGAGACAGACTGAGCATTGCGTGGCATGGAGGGTGTGGAGGTGGGTTTCAGTTCCTGTGTCCCCATCCTGCCCTGTCGCCTGGCCTTACATCTGGGTATCTCTGCGGGAGTGGGGCTAGGTCAGCCCTAATTCTGGCCATGAGCGGGCATCCAGAGTGCCTCCAGCTAGGGTTTAGGGTTGAGCTCTCTGGGGTGTTGGCCATGGCTTCTCAGGGACACAGGCAGGGTCAAGGTTCCTGTGAACTAGAGGCTTGCCAAGGCTTAGTCTGTACCACTCTGAAGATGCCCGGCACCACGGTGGACTCGCTGCCTGCCCTCACAGAGCTTCTGACTCACTGGCAAGCCTGACACCTACATCTGGTTTTTTTTTGAGTTTGAGTTTGAGTCTCACTGTGTTGCCCAGGCTAGAGTGCAGTGGTATGCTCACAGCCACCACAGCCTGGAACTGCTGGGCTCAGGCAATCCTTCCACTTCAGCCTTCCAAGTAGCTGGAACTACAGGCACATGCCACCACGCTTGGCTAATTTTTAATTTTTTCTTTGAGTTGGAGTCTCACTCTGTTGCCCAGATTTGAGTGCAGTGGCCGCTCCCCGCCACCGCAGCCTCGACCTGCTGGGCTCCGGCGATTGTTCCACCTCAGCCTTCCAAGTAGCCGGAATTACAGGCATGCGCTACCACGCCCGGCTGATTTTTTGATTTATTGTAGAGATGAGCTCTCACCAAGTTTCCCAGTCGGGTCTCGAACCCGCAGGCTCAGGCAATTCACTCACCTCAGCCTCCCAAGGCGCAGGATTACAGGCTGAGCCACTGAGCCCGGCTTAATTCTTTGATTTATTGTAGAGACAAGGTCTTGCCATATTGCCCAGGTTTATCTCGAACCCGTGAGCTCTGGCAGTCCTCTCGCTTCCACCCCACAAAGTGGGGATTACAGGCGTGAGCCACCATGCCTGGCTGCCACCTACATCTTTACGTAGTGTCCATTGTAAGCTCCATTCATGGTGTGTACAGCCTGGTGGACAGCAATAGGACACTACTGCCCTTGTCATGCAAGGTGGCTCCACGTCCTCCAGCCCTGTTTTCCGTGTGACTCCGTGCAGTGCTCCATGAGGGCCCACCCTTCTGTGGGATGCAGAAGTGCACATGGCGTGCTCCTGTCTCAGTGAGTTCTGAGCCAGGTGGGCCGCACAGGCACTCGTTGGCCCTGCCCCACACTGGCAGCGAGGACTCTGAGACAGCGGTGCGCAGAGGGAAGGACCCCTCATCCGCCGCCATTTCTGAGGGCCTCAGCATGTGTCGTCGTGGGGCCAGGTGCTGCACCCGTCTTGATTCAGTGGAAACATCTGTGCTTTACAGCTCTGCCACACAACGTTGACCTTTCAAGTTAAAAACAAGCCACCCTGGGTGAGGATGACTTGTGATGGCATGTGGGCTGCTGTCCTTTGCCTGGCGGCTCGGCGGGTGTGGGCGCCTCCGCAGTATGTTCCTCTTGTATCTGTTGGGCCCTGAGGCAGGGGTCCTGCTTGGGAGAGCCTTGTTTTTCTGGCCCATTCCATCCTGTGGACCCGTGTGGAGAGATCTGTGTCAGTTCTGATGCTGCAGGGCAGGGGAACTACCCAGAGGATACTGAACCTGCGCCGTTCCGCCTGGCAAGGGCCAAATCACACCACTTAGGGTACATGCAGAGCCTCCTGAATCTGGGCGCACTTGCCAGCCATGTCTGCATGGCTGAGTTATGCAAGCTCTGAGCCTCAGTTCCTCCCTTGTAAGATGAAGATGGTGTGAGGCCGTGTCAGGGTGGTTGTGCAGCTTGGCACACCGTCTGAGGGGCCTGGCAAACACGGTGATTTCACTGAGCACTGTGTGGACTTGAAAGGGCCTTCGAGGGCTCCTGACTGAAGCTGTATTTGCCTTGGGTCTGGCAATCTTGGGAGGGCTGTATCGGGCCAGTGGAGGCCTTTGGGTCTTTTGCATGTTGGTGAGCTGTTGGGAGGGCTGGAGGCTGGCTGGGTGTTCCAGCCTCAGGGCCTGAGCTCTTCCTATTCTTGCCCAGAATGTTCTCCCCCCAGATCTCATCATGGTTCCCTCATGTCCTTCGGGTCTTTGCTAAAATAGTTCCTTCTCCATGAGGCCTTTCCTGCCATCTCCATTTAAAATGAAAGTGCCTACTGTGTCCTCCCCTGCCTAATTTTTGTCCGTGGACTTTTTCTTCACTTGAAGTACTCTGTTCCCCACCACCCACCTCCACCACTAGTGTGTAAGCTCCGTGAATGATTTCTGTCTGCTGTGTTTGCCAATAATGCCTCAGCACCCAGACTGGTACCCAGCAGAGTTGGTGCTCAATAAGTTATTGATGAATGAATGAATGAGTGAATGAAGAGTTTCTCTACTCAGCCACTGAACTAGGATTCACAGAAACCACTTTTCTGAGTGATTTCAAGTGAAATCAGATGAAGTTGAACAGATTAGTACGAAAGACTTCTGTACAAATAGAGGTTTGATGGGAAATTCATCTGTTCATGAGAACCGCAGGGGACAGACCATTCATGATATGAGAGGAACAGAGGGGGCAGCTGTATGAAAGATCAGTCGGGGTGGTTTTTCTTCGTTACTTTCTTTTTTAAAAGAAGATGACATACATGCGCATGGAGATTTGGGTTGGATTGACTGGCTTACCCCTTAGGGTGCAGCATTTCACTTAAGGATTTCTGATTTAGTTGAAGACTTTCATTTCCCCTCCTCAGAGGGGAAGGGACTGCCCGGATCCCGCCGTGAGCTAGTGGCTAGGCCAGTAACTTGGTAAGCATTCATTGGGCACACTTCAAACTGATACAGTGCTAGGCATTACAGCTTCCCCAGAAAGGCTGCCCCAGAGGCCTGGCCAGCTGCCGATACACTGCTGTTGTCCTTCCAGCCAGGTGGGCTCCGTGGCAGGGCCTGAGCCACCCTCATGGAAGGGAGAGGACCGTACCGGATCTACGACCCTGGGGGCAGTGTGCCTCCAGGAGTGGCCTCCGCAGCTTTTGAGCGTCTCATGGAGGAGAATTCCCGACTGAAGGAAAAAATGCAAGGGATAAAGACGTTAGGTAAAGCAGCCCCTTGCATCCCCATGAGCCACCCTGTTGCCTGTGATGCCAGTCCCTCTGCCAGCAGCAGAGGATGCCTCTGGCACATGCCTCTGTACAGTCATCCTTCTGTCTCTCTGACCTGTGCCAACTTCTGCCTCAGCTATGTTTTGGTGCATTTGTGTATCATGGTGACAGTATTCCTAGCACACCAAAACCAAGATGGCGGCACTCAGAATAACTGGAGGGACCAAGAGGGAGGTGTGGACTGGGCGAGAGGAGCTGGCAGGACTGAATCGTGGATGTGGAACCAGAATGTCCTCCCCTTCCCGAGGCACAAGAGGGGGAGAGCCGGCACCCCTGGCAGCACACAGGCCCTGGTGTGGGGCAAGGAGGCAGCAGGTCTCTCTGTTTCTCTTCCCCTGGCTTTTGCTCTCGCTGTCCCCACTGCCTAGTACAGTCTTACCTGCTTCCACACGATGGAACTGTCCCCATGCATGGGCATCAGCTCAGACACCAGCTCCTCCTCCATGCGAGGCTTTCGTTGGTGTCCCCATCTCAAGGGTCTCTCTTTCCTCCAAACCCCCAAAACTCTTCCTCTGTCTTGCCGCCCACTTCTCTGGTTTTGGGTTTTGGAGGTGAGCATGACACCCTGATTTTTAAGATGCCTTCTCCTCACCTGGTAGATCCCTGGGGAGGAAGAAATGACGCTTCCCCTCTCCGCTTGTTGGAGAAGGAGCGTGGAGGCCTGGAGGGCTGGCTGGTGTTACCAGGGTCTCTGCCCACAGGCAGCCCCTGATTCTGGATGCTTAGGCGTGGGCGGCCCCCGAGAGCCCCTGGCCGGGTGTGGAGGGAGCAGGGCAGCCAGAGGATTCTGGGGCAGGAGTTTCTCCTGGATTCCTCCCACTCTGTTCCCCTGATTGCTGGCCCTCTTCCTGTTTCTCGTGGTGGGCCGGGATGGGCTTTGTCCCACTTCTGCAGAGTGATGGTGGGCGTGCGGTCTCAGGGCTGGAGCCTGGGAAGCCCAACAGAGGCAGGTCTGGGGGCACGGGTGGGGAGAACCAGCTCACCCAGCTAAGGACATGCTTTGGCCCCTTCTCCCTGCTGCCTCAGGGGAGCTCTTGGAAGAATCCCAGATGGAGGCTACCCGGCTCCGGCAGAAGGCAGAGGAGCTGGTCAAGGACAACGAGCCACTCCCGCCGCCTGTGCCCTCCTTGGGCTCCTTCGACTCCCTGACTGAGCTCACAGGTACAGGAGGAGTCTGGGTCCCTCTGCCTGGCCTGTACCCCAAGCTACCTGAACCCTGAACAGTAAACTCCCTCTTTAGGCCGAAACCCACACCCCCTCATTTATCCTTAAGCCCCAGGCCACCCTCCCATTTATGCCTTAGTTGCAGTATCCCCAGAAAGTCAGATTTGGAAGGAACTTCCACATATTCTTATTAGAAAGGGCCAGTGACTCAGCATTCCTGTGGCGCGGGCAGGGGCAGTCTTAATGATAGATCTCAGTAGTCGACTGCACTGCAGGCCTGTGGCCTTAGAACCCTTATTAGCCTCTGTACTCAGCAGATTTTTTTTTTTGAGTCAGAGTCTCACTCTGTTACCTAGGCTGGAGTGCAGTGGCAGGCTCACAATTACTGCAGCCTCTACCTGCTGGGCTCAGGCAATCCTCCCACCTCAGCCTTCCAAGTAGCTGAAACCGCAGCCTCAACCTGCTGGGCTCTGGGATCCTCCCACTTCAGCCTTCCAAGTAGCTGGAACTACAGGCATGCGCCACCATGCCCAGCTAATTTTTCTTGATTTATTGTAGAGATGAGGTCTCAGCAAGTTGCCTAGGCTGGTTTCGAACTCATAGGCTCAGGCAGTCCTCTCACCTCGGCCTCCCAAAGTGCTGGGATTATAGGCGTGAGCCACGGCACCTGGCCTCAACAGATATTTTATTGAGCAGCTACTGTGTACCAGGCCTAGCATTCCAGGCACCCACTTCCTGTCTCTTGGACTTGGCATGTGAGTTGCAAGCTCTCTGGTCCATTCCCTTCTTCCCATTTTGTGGTCAGGGAAGCTGAGGCCCAGGGAAGTCTTAGCCTACTGCAGCATATTTCAGATGTCAGACCACTTGCTCGAGGAAAGGGTGCCTGTGACCTGGGGTGAAGCCCTGCATGTAGTTACTGTACATCTCTCTGGCATGTCTCCAAGTCCTCAGTAAGGTCTGGGACTGGGAGGAGGATCCCACATCCAGGACTTGGATGCCCCCTGCAGTAGCTCCAGCGATGGTCTGGCCCAGGCCCATGTGGCAGTCTGTCCTTGGGCTGGCAATGCTCTCAGAGCCCACTGTGCTGCATTCAGTGGGCGTGTCTAGACTCCGCCTGTCCACCCAGCAGTGTGCCGATTCCTCGCTGGGTGCCAGGTCCACCCTGAGGGACACACGGAGCTGCCTTCAAGCGGCTCCCACAGCCAAGAGCCCCACCAGGTCGGGGAGTGAGTGTCAGGTCTCAATCCTGGTTTTGCAGTTGCTGGCTAGTGACTGGGGGCAAGGCGGTGACTTTCCTGAGCCTCCGTTTTCTTACATTTAAAATGAGGCTGTTGGTTTGAGTTGGAGTCTCACTCTGTCGTCCAGGCTGGAGTGCAATGGCATGCCCACGGCCACCCCAGCATCAACCTGCTGGGCTCCGGCGATCCTTCCACTTCAGCCTTCCAAGTAACCAGAACTACAGGCACGCGCTACCGTGCCCGGCAAAATTTTTTTTCTATTTATTGTGAAGACACGGTCTCAGCACGTTGCCCAGGCTGGTCTTGAACCTGAGGGGTCAGGCAATCCACTTGCCTCAGCCTCCCAAAGTGCTGGGATTACAGTCTGAGCCACCGAGCCCAACCAAGGCTGTAGAATAATGGGACTGGGATAACAGATAGGAGAATACTTTGTTAGTTGTAAAACAGGCTCTATCCCTGTCACTCCAGGGCAGGATGTTTTCTCAGGTTCCCTGGCCCTGGTGGGACTGTTCTACGAGACTCGGGTGGGGAGCTCTGTCCTTGTGGGGCAGTACTGAGGTTTCTCCCCTTCCCAGTCTGCTCATCCCTGCTCTCTTACATCTCCAGGGAAGGATGCAGATGTCCCGGCACCTCCCGCTGCCCCTGTGTTGCCCAGTGACAAGCCAGCGTCAGTCCAGAAGCCTCCGTCCAGTGTAAGTTGCATCTGAAGTCATGGCTGAAGGTTGCCTGGACTTCAGGGTCCTGCTGGCAGATACAGGAACATGAAGAAGGAGGGTTGGGGTCAAGAAATAGCATTCCACCTTGCTGGGTGATATCGGGGAAGTCAATCTCAAGCTCTTTGGGGTCTCAGTTTCCTTGGAGGTCATAGTTAAATGAAGGTCATAGCTAAAACCAGGAAGACCTAGTATGTACAAGGAAGTCCTCTCATTTACTAAGCTGCATGATGGTGTGTGCACAGGCTACACAGTGCTGGGAACAGACAGATGTGACGTGGAACTGCATTCTCCAAGGGTCTCAGAAGCCATCTTCTGCAGACTTGGCTAGAGGGTTTTCTTGGTACCCTGGAGGGATTGTGTAGTTGAGCATCCTAATCCTGCAGGTTCAGTCCAGGGAAAGAAGGGTCCTTTTTGAGTTCACATTGGTAACTGGGGAAAAATAGAAGGGAGAGGGAGCTTTCCAGGGCCGAGACCCAGAGTTGGTGGCCATGAGGCCGAGCCGGAAGCTAGTAAGGGTTCCTCCCATCTGAAGGATGAAGGAAGGCCGAGATTGTCTCTGTGGGCAATCGTATTTTGGTTTTTTTGAGACAGGGCCTTACTCTGTTGCCCAGGCTGGAGTGCAGTGGTGCAGTCCTTGCTCACTGTAGCCTCGGCCTCCTGGGCTCAGCTAATCCTCCCACCTCAGCCTCCCACGTAGCTAAGAGTACAGACTCATGCTACCACCCAGTTAATTGTTTAAAATTTTTTGTAGATATAGGGTCTTGCTATGTTGCCCAAGCTGGTCTCTAACTCCTGGACTCAAGCAATCCTCCTACCTCGGCCTCCGAGGGAGGACTGTAGGCATGAACCACCGTGCCTGGTGCAGACCAGATAATGGGAATCCCAGAGCCAACACTGGTTCCCATGCACTATCAGCCTGCCAACTGAGTGAATGCCCAGGGAATTCTACTTGGAATGACTGAAAGGTGTGAAAAGGTCTGGGATTTTTGGCCACCCTGGATTTGGGTGAATTCTGAAAGAGCCTCCAAATTTGTTGACCCATCTTTGGAACTTTTCTCAGATCAGTTCAGCCCTCTGAGTTCTCTGGGACTAGAGATCTCCCCAGGACCAGCATAGGCCCATGCTTGGTGACAGCTGTAACAACGGTTGTCTGTGTTATCTGAGGACCAGTCAGAAACATCTGGACCTGGGAGACAGCCCGGGTGCTGCAGCAGGAATGCTAGATCTGCAGTCTTGGTCTCAGTCCCTGCTTTAGCGTTAACTCACCTTATGGCCTTAGTTTTCTCATTTGCCAGAGAGGATACAGCCTTCCGACCCACTCTGTGGGTTGCTTTGAGAATTCTTGGAGAACAGGAAAGCATTGTAAAAGTTCAAGGCCTGGCCAGGTGTAGTGGACCCCTCTGTGCATTCACATGGAATGACGTAACTGTCCCATGAGCCCGCAGGCAGCTGCCTCCCCTTGGCAGGGTGGGCTACCTGGATGAGCTGGGAGGGTAAATGCTGTGCCCCTTGCTGCTGTCTGCTGCAGGGCCCCAAGAGGGCCAGGGTACTTTCTCTTGGGCAGCATCTAACTCCCTTTCTGCACAGGGCGCCTCCTCTGAATTTGAAGTGGTCCCTGCGGAGGAGCAGAATTCTCCATCAGAAAGTGGCGGCCGTGCCAGCGCGCTCGTGAGTGATGGGCAGGCCCCAGCACATCCCGCTGCCTCCTCTCAGTCTCAGTCACCTGCCCCATGTGAGAGGCACAGGACCTGCTGAGATCCTCTGGGCACCCGGAATCACTTGGGGACACATGAGGGGTGACAGCAGGAGGTGCTTCTCGCTCAGATATGCAAATCCCCGGGCTAGTGACTTCCCGACGCGGTGCCCAGCCATTGTGAAAGCCCAGGCACTTTGCCAGCCCTGGTGACCTCTGCTGAGGTCGGGAACCTCTGTGAAATGACTCAGCTCTTTGGGTCCCTGGCTCATGGCCCAGGGCGGGGGAAGGATCGGGAAGGCACAGGGCTGTGGAAGGCCGGATGCCACCCTCCATGAAACTCTTGGCCCTTTCAGGCTCCCTTGTAGGGCACACTGGTTGGAGGGTGAACCTCCACTCACACACGTGCACAACACGCATGAACATACGCACATACATGCTCGTACACACTCCTACAACTCTGTGTGTCTGCCTGGTGCCCTCCTTCCACACCTCGTCACACTTGCTGCCTATGTCCTAACTATGTCTTCCTTCTGTTCTTTCTTAAAATGGCAGACTTATTGGAGAACCATTGTGAAAAGTCTGGAAGATTCTTCAAAGGTCTTAAATTCCTACCTTCTCCCTTCTCCCCCTCCCTTCCCAGCTTGAGTTGTTTTTTTTAATTGTTGTTATGTGAGCAAGAAATGGGTCAGCCCTTCACCAATACCTGGTCCGTATGGCCTCATTTCACATGAAGTGGCAGGTGTTTTTTGTTCACGGGTGTATCCGTCAGGGCCGCATGCAAGGCCCCCATCAAGCGGTCATCCAACTTGCTCCTCACCACCTCGGCAGCTCTGAGTACTAGGAGGTTCTTTATATTCTGTCTCCTGGGCCCTTCTGTCCCTTGTCTTGTTCTGTCCCTGAGGACTCTGAGACACTGGCTGAGGAGGCAAGATCCCCTGCTTAGCAAGTGTTTCATTCTGTGACCTTGGGCCAGGAACTTTACCTAGCTGATATGCTTCTCCTTTGCTTACTGAGCACCTAGTCGATGCTGAGCCTATATGAGACAGCCTGCCTGCGCTCTGGAAGCCTGTAGTTGACCTGGGGAAACAGAGGCATCTGAAGCACTTCCTGAGCCTTAAATAGGGCAGCACTTGTCACCTAGAACCTTTGGGGAAAGGGATAGCAGGGTGAATGTAGCATTGCGGCGGCAGCCCCATCTCTTGTAGGAAAGTGGTGCTGGTGACAAGCCACAGGCACTCACCTGGTGCCCAGTTGTGGCCGCAGTCATGGCCATTGCCCAGAGTTCAGAGACGCAGAGGTCAGTGTGGCAGAGCACTGGTCTGGGAGCCAGGACACCTAGTTCTACTCCCAACCCTGCCACCAACTTCCTGAGTGACTTTGGGCAAGTTCCTTTTCCCTGCGCTTGATTTCCCAGCCTGACCCCCGAAGCTCCCTGTAGCTCTGCCACCCTGTGATTCCTGTAACTGTTTCGGGGAGGCTGCTGGAGGAGTGAGGCATTGGAGGCACAGGAAGGATGGGAGGGGCTTGTGGAGAGGACACAGCAGGTGGAGCCTGGAGAGGCACAGGGCCTAGGGTGTGCAGTTCAGGTGCAAGAAGTGGGGCGGCTGCACAGGACCCTCACTGTAGGGCCTTAGATGCCTGGCAGGAGCCGGGCTCAATGCCAGTGCAGTAAGGTAGCACTGTGGGGCCAGGGGCATGATGGTAGCATGCTAAGGTGGTATCTTCAGTAGGAATGTTCTAGCTAGAATAGAGAGAAAGAGATTGGACAATCTTGCCCACAACCTGCTTCATTTCTTTCTTTCTTTCTTTTTTTTTTTGAGTTGGAGTCTTACTCCATCGCCAGGCTGGAGTGCAGTGGCACAGTCATGGCCTCCCCAGGGTCAGCCTGCTGGGCTCCGGCGATCCTTCCGCCTCAGCCTTCCAAGTAGCCGGAACTGCAGGCGCACGCTACTACCACACCCAGCTAATTTTTTTTTTATTGGAGAGATGAGTTCTCATCAAGCTTCCCAGGCTGGTCTCGAACCTGTGGGCTCAGTCAATCCACTTGCCTTGGCCTCCCAAAGTGCTGGGATTACAGGCTGAGCCACCAAACCCAGCTTAGGTGGTTCTTAACCAATTTGAGTCTTGGTCCTCTGAGAAGCTGATGAATGCTTAGACCATTCCCCATAAGACACACAGGTAGTTGAAGCAGCAGGTGTATATAGGAAGTCCTCCCTTGGTGTCCACAGGAGATGGGTTCTAGGACCTCCTCCCCCCTGCAGTACCCAAATCTGTGATGCTCACGTCCCTAATATGAAACGGTGCAGCATTTGCATGTAACCTCATGCACATCCTCCCACATACATGGAACCATCTCTAGGTTACTTATAATACCTCACATGACGTAAATGTTTTTAAATAGTGGCTCTACTGTATTGTTGAGAGAACTATGACATGTTCAGGATCGGCACAGTTGTGGTTTTTGGTGATGTTTTAGGTCTGTGATTGGCTGAATCCATGTCTGCAGAACCCACAGCCATGGAGGCATCTGTGTAGCGATGCCCCTGTGGGCTTGCTACTCTTGGGGGTTCGCTTGTCCATATAAGAACCCTGTGAGGTGGAGGGAGGGTCTGTACATTTAGTGGTGATTGAAATGACGACTCTGAGGCCCGTGGACCAGAGATGCCCCCAGGTACTCCACGTGGCCCCGAGTGTGGCAGGCGCGTAGCTCCACCACTGTCAAGCCAGCCGGGGACCTGGGAGCCCTGGTCCCGCCCCGGGAGTCAGCCCCAGACAGGCAGCCTGCGTGCCTGGAGACGTTCCCTGGACTAGTCTGGGCCACGGGGGAAACTGAGTTATGAGGAAGTGGGAAGCAGAGAGGAATGGGTTGGCAGCGCCTGCTGGGGCCCTGGCGAGACGTGGTATGAAATGTGGTTGACGTGCCCTTCTCCTCTGCAGGAGCTGGGCTCCCTGCCCCGCGAGGATGGCAACCTCTTGCTGCACCTGCAGCGCCTGGAGACCACACTAAGCGTGTGCGCGGAAGAGCCGGACCATGGCCAGCTCTTCACCCACCTGGGCCGCATGGCGCTTGAGTTCAACCGGCTGGCGTCCAAAGTGCACAAGAACGAGCAGCGCACCTCCATCTTGCAGGTGAGGCAGTGAACAGGGCAAGGAAGTTGTGGGGAGGGCAGGGGAGAGGAGGAATGGGGAAAGGTGGGGTGGGCCAGGCAGATGCGATCGGGGCAGCCCTGGGCCCACGGATGGGGTGGGTTGATGCAGCCCTGCCTTTGATGACATGGCAGGGTGGGAACGGGGGACAGAAGTCAACTCCTTGTGTGTCATGTCCCTGCCCCAGGCAAACACCCTTATCTTCCCCCCTTCACAGGTAGGGAGACCGCCCTCGGAAGGTGGCATGTTTTTGCCCAAGGTCACTAGCCGGTCAATGGTGGGGCTGGGATTGGAGCCTCTGTCTGTCGTATTCCCGTTCTGTGCTCTCAGCCTCCATCCCAACCTGCCTCCCTGCTGGAATTCCTCTGAAAAGCCTTCCTGTGCTGTGGGGATGGGGGTGAGGTGTCAGCTAGACCAGGCCAGGAGTGGCAGGTCCTGGGTTCTTGTCATGTTGTATGAGCTTGGACAAATCACTTATCTACTCTGTCCCCCCGTCCCTGTCAGTCACTCAAGCCATGGGCACCTCCCTCGTGGGGAGGCAGTGTGCAAGGATCACCTGGCACCATCTGGAGCACAGTCAATGCTGGAGAAAGTCACTGCTGGGACTTCATGATGGTCATCTGTGCAGGGTGGGGGCTTGGGGACAGGGAAGATTGTTCCACAGACAGTGAACTGAGGCCCTGGAGGACTCCTCGGGGTCTGAGTGGTTACCTTAGTGAGAGAGCCTTGACTTGAAGTCTCCCTCCTCCCTGGGAGATCTCCTTTTCTGGACCAGTCTCTGTTCTGTGGTCTCATGTGTGCCAGCAGATACTCAAGTCCCCAGCCGATGGGAGGAGGGCAGTCCCGCTGTGTGACCTGGACTTGACAAGAGCAGGAGGACTGTGCAGGCTGGAGACAGGCGGAGGAGAGATGTGGGGGTGGAGGAGCGTGCAGGATGTTTATCCCGCTTCGTGGGGAGAGGCTGGGCGAGTGACCCGTGCATACCGTGGGGGCCTGCAGGGCCAGAATGAGGGAGGGGACCCTTTCAGATGTCAGCGAGGCTTTGGGTGTCCCAGCCATCCCTCTGAGCCTGGCACGGGACTGGGATGAGCACATTCTGAAGGTCCACTTTTGGCTTTGAAATGGGTGTAGGTTCCAGGCTTCCTAAAAGGGGTCCTGCCAAGCTCTGCTCGTTTTTATATTAGGCCCGTTTGTTTCCTTCTTAGCTCTTCTCATAGTTTGTAGTAATGCTATTTATTTTATTTTATTTTATTTTTTTAGTTGGAGTCTCACTCCTTCGCCCAGGCTGGAGTGCAGCGGCAAGCACGCTCACCCCAGCGTTGACCTTCTGGGCGCCAGCTATCCTTTCTCCTCAGCCTTCTGAGTAGCCTGGAACTACAGACATGCGCTACAACACCTGGCTTTTTTTTTATTGTAGAGACGAGGTCTCACAAGCTTCCCGGGCTGGTGTCAAACCAGCAGGCTCAGGCAATTCACTCGCCTCGGCCTCCCAAAGTGCTGGCATTACAGGCTAAGCCACCGAGCCTGGCCAATACTGTTATTTTGTTAGCTATTCACCACCCTCTTGTACTCCCTGCTAGAATATAAGCCTCATGAGGGGACAGGCTGTCGTACTTGCCATTGCATCCCGGTATCTGGTACTGCATACAAATTGAGTGAATGAATAGATGAAAGAGTGAATGAACAAATGAACTCTCAGGGGAGCACTTTTAGCTCCTTGGATGGAAGGGGATGGTCTTTGTGACTTCTCATGCTCCTATCCGTAAGCTGGTTTATGCCTGGTGCATTTGCCCTGTGACTCCGGGACACAGCCCTCCAGACTGAAAGGGTGGGCCCAGAAGTGAGGTCTTATCCCATTGTCCCTTAGGGACCAGAAGCAGGTTGTTTTGTTCCCTAGAGGCCTTGCCCAGGCCATGCCATCTTGGGTATTTACACTGCCTGTGGGTGGAGGTAGATACATCCAGTTCCTCCTCATTTGTGGATGTGGTTCACTCAACAAACATGTTCAAGGCCAGGTATGGCACAAGGCCCTCTGCTAGGCTTCTAGGGGACCGCCACAACAATTTTCTGCTTTCTAAACCTTGGGTCTCTTATTGTCCAGCCACTCTTCAGTTCAAGGTCTTCTCCCTCATCCAGCTTCCCCAAGACTCTCCTGCATGGGTCAGAAAGGAAACAAACAACTCAGAAATCCCCCTGGATAACATAACAAAAGTCTTCTCTGGTATTCTGTGTGGCAGGGTTTGTTTCTGCTCCCCACAGTTCCTTAGAGTCCCAGAGGATGGGACCCTACCTCTAGTACTCTTTGGATGACAAGGCATACAGGGAAAGAGACCCAAGAGACCTCTCTATTGGCCAGAACTAGGCCAGGCAAGGGGGGGGAATAAGGAGTTGGGTGTGAGGTGACTGTGCCCCTCCCTGTTCTCTTGGCTCAACTGCTTTTGGGGTACGCCCCCCTTCCTCCCTGCCTACCCTTCTGCCCTGCAGACCCTGTGTGAGCAGCTTCGGAAGGAGAACGAGGCTCTGAAGGCCAAACTGGACAAGGGCCTGGAACAGCGGGACCAGGCTGCCGAGAGGCTGCGGTAAGTCCAGGCCCCTCAGAGGAAGAGCGAGGAGCAGGGGTGGGCAGGGGCGTGCACCGCCCTGATTTCTGGGGTGAGGTCTTGGGCTCAGAGCCCTGTTTGGATGTCAGGTCTCTCCTTGGCTCCCTTGATATTTTTCTCTCTGGCCCTTTAACACCTTGGGAAGTGTCTGGAGAACAGCGAGCCTGAGCAGGTTGGTGCAGAACCAGCTGTGAGAGGGTACAGGACGCTGCTGCCCCCTGCCGGTCACCAGCCTAACCTGCTCCATCCTCCTGAGAACGTTCCAGGGTCTGGGAAAGGCATGACAAGTTTATACCCCCTGGCCCTTCCGCCTCTGCAAGATTCTGAGTAGGCAAGTCCAAGGCGAGACCTAGGAGATACATTCCACCAGAATCTCGTGATTGTGATGTCCAGGGTCCCACCTTGGGAGATAACAGTCTTGACTGCCGGAGCTTGAGGGCCCCTTTGAGAGCACTATGTAGGGGGGAAACTGAGGCACAGAGGAAGGCAAGGACTTGCATTGAGTCTCAGTGCAAATCTTGCTCCCCATACATAAGAGTGGCCCCAACTCCTGCTTGGGCTGGTCCTGGATAATTGCGTAGTAACCATCTACTGGGCTTGGGCCCGTGTAGGAGAGGCCTGTGCTGTAACTAGGAGTTGTTCTTGTTTTTGCCCTTCTTGTTGCTTGTTAGAATCAGCATAGAGAGAAGGTATAGACATTTCTTAAGTGCATCTCCAGTAGTGTTTAATGGTGGAGCCATTTTGCCATTTTGAATCCGTGTGTTTATTTACTTTTTGGTCATGGATGTGGTTGGGGTTTTATAGCCCTGACTCCACCCCTGGATCCAAAGACCTGGAGGAGAGCCTCATGAAGTAGAAGGCAAGAGTACACATCCCTACATGTGGCCTTGGAAAGTCACTTGACTTCTTGATTTTTTTTTTTTTTTTTTTTTGAGTTGGAGTCTCACTTTGTCGCCCAGGCTGGAGTGCAGTGGCATGCTCCCAGACACCACAACCTCGACCTGCTGGGCTCTGGCGATCCTTCTGCCTCAGCCTTCCAAGTAGCTAGAACTACAGGTGCGGGCTACTGTGCCCAGCTAATTTTTTGATTTATTGTAGAGATGAGGTCTCGCCAAGTTGCCCAGGCGGGTCTCGAACCCACGGGCTCAGGCAATCCATTCACCTCAGCCTCCCAAAGTGTGGAATTACAGGCTGAGCCACCAAGCCTGGCTCAACTTCTTGATTTTTCTATTGTTATTATTATTTTAGAGACAGGACCTCATTCTATCACCCAGGCTGGAGTGCAGTGGCGCATTCATGGCTCACTGCAGTCTCTAACTCCTGGATTAAAGCGATCCTCCTGCCTTAGCCTCTCAAGTTTTTCTGTTATTAAATGAAACCCAACTGCCTAACAACCTAAAGAAATGTTTTTCATGTTTTAGTCAGATGCGAATCCACATCACCACTTTTGTGATGTCCTATATTGCCTGCCTTAGGATTTGACTTTAATTTGATTTTACTTAAAATTGTAAAGGATACTTTAACTCGTTAAATGGAAAACAGCATTGTCTGTGGTAAATAGAAGATAACTCTGAAAATACATACGGTGGAGATGAAGGGATGTTAGCACATGCTGGCTGACACCACTGCCAGCCTGCTCCTGTGCTAATAAGGGGACCTGGCAGGTGCCAGGGGTGCCCAGGACTCATTGACACCAAACTCAGACTTTCTCCACACTCCACACAGAAAAGGTGAGATCACTGAAAAGGGTGGCCATGCTCACTAGAATGTGGCCTGGGGTTACTTAACACAGTGCTTGAATCCATCTTAAAGATCTTGTGTGTGGACATCCCTCGGCCAGAGAAGCCCTGCTGCTGGGGCTCAGAGACTTCTCGGGAAGTTGCAGATGGCCAGTGAGGCAGCTTCACAATGGCCTTTCCCTTTTCCCTGAGGGCAATTCCATGATCTTGCTTTACGCCCCAAATTCAGCTGCACCTTATGTGATGGTGGGTGTGTGACTGAAGGCGTCTTACTCAGGGCCAGCATTGTGACTCTCTGCCTTCAACTCAGGGAGGAAAACATAGAACTCAAGAAATTGTTGATGAGCAGTGGCAGCAAAGAGGCGGGCTCCGGGCGGCCAGGCTCACCGAGGGCAGAAGCTGCAAGCAGGAAGGTGGTGGCCGGACAGCAGCAGGTACGTGGTCAGAAGCCCTTCCTCTTGGCCTGACATTTGTGCCCAGAGGCTGCCAGCAGTCACTGTGGCTCTGTGGCCTCCACAAACCTTCTCTTCTCTGGGCCAAATGGCTCCAGTTCCTTTTGCCGTGGCTCATAGGAAGTGGCATTGAGTCCCTTGCTTAGCCTGGGCACATTGCTAAACACGCTCCAGTTTATCAAGGTCTCTCTTAAAGGGTGTCTTTCAAAAGTTAGTTTAAGCCGGGCTCGGTGGCTCAGCCTGTAATCCCGTGCCTTTGGGAGGCTGAGGTGAGTGGATTGCCTGAGCCC